CCTTTCTTTTGTATGTCTTAATGTTTAAAGCCATAACTACAGAAGTGAGAAAATCTGAGTGAAGTAACCCTTTAACCTTTTATACCAAAGCGTTGATTCGTTCTTTCAGTTTCATACTTTTACTTATTTTTACCAAGTCCTCACTGAGGAGAGGTATAGTATGGGTTCTTGAGGGTTAAGACACAGGGTCAAACCTTCAGGGTCTGCACAATTTCAACAAAGCACTATTGCACATCTGCACTGTGGTACATCATTCATCCCTATTCCAATTATCCCACTTATCTAAATAACAAAAAAACATTTCCGGCACATGAACGCATTGCTCATCTAAAGCTTTTGCACAATAAGAGATTGTGGGGTTTATTCTTGAGTGTCACCATTAATGACATATTTATGTATGCTACACCCCTAGCAGAGGTTTTGATGCTTTGTCCACCAATCCACTAATGCCATCACTTCACTTAATTACCCTCAATTAAGACACTATAAAAGAATTGCAAAGAATTGCTAATGAACTCATTTGGAGACGTGGAAACACTCAAAAGCAGATCCTGGATTGAGGGCAATTAACCCCAGGCACGGTAGATAAGCCACTTCACTCTCTTATCCCCTTTCTGTATATGGGAATAAAATGTGAGCTTGAAGTGAAAATCCACCCTAAAATACTAGACAAACTTAACAATTTGCACACATTAATATTTCCACCACTGACCATGAATAGGTACACGACCTTGATGATTTGAAATGCTTATGGTTTCAAATGTTGCTACATGTCGCTGATGAAAAAGGCAACCAGAAAATGTCCATTTACAAATAAAACCTGATTCATTCTTTTTGTTGCATCCACAGGTTCTGTTTCCCATTAGGTACCACTGACCTGACTCAGTTTGACTCACTACGTCCCTGGCCACCAGTCTGATCTAAACTGTTCAATATTTAACGCAATGCAACCTGAACCTAAGAGATGGCGACATAGCAATTAAATCTACATTAACAAAAATGGTTTTGGCCACTTGGAGGCTGGAAAATGGAGATATCAGCCTGAAAACACACACACTAACATATAATTAGCCTAAAAAGTTATGGCTGTCATTAATGATGATCCCCTTGACATGGAGCAGCATTAACATTCACTTGCTGTGCTGCTTTTTCCACCTGTTGAATCTAAGCAAAATTCGCAAGTTGTTAGATGTTTAGCTTTCTTCTCAAACTAGGTGTTAGCTTCCTCATTTGTCGCTGGGCGGGTGGTGTAGCTTGTTTATCAGATCTTTGTTGCTAACAAAATAAGAAAAATAAATATAAAAAAGCTGCCCAATGTTGGAAGTAAATTTTATGGATCAGTTAATGAAAAGAAATGAGCTAAATATGGCTAAAAGCTCTGTGAAGCTAAGGTGAAAGGTGAAGTTTGGTCCTTAATTGTTCGGGGGTTTACAGTATGAGTAATGCCTTTCACATTCATTTAATAGAGAACATACTGATAAGCTTAACTTAATCAAATGGGTGTGTATCCATCAGCAGCTTGGATACACTAAAACTGTAGGTTTCTCATGCTAATGGCACTACCAAATGAAACGACTAATAGCTCAGCAAAACATAGTAGAGAGCAGCAGGCAGGTCACCAGACTCTTGTGAAACAGTACATCAAAATGCTCCTTCACACACTGTAAACAGGAGTATAAACAAGATTAGCATAAAAAGGAAAAGGACTGAGCAACATCTAATTTTTGAACAAAGGTAAGATGAAGTTGACATTTTCCTTAAATACTTCCTTAAATAAGGGTTAAAGGGTTAAAGTAACAGTGTTTAAGTCGTAGCTGCATGTTATTTCAACAGCTGTTCATATCGGTTGGCAGTTCTCTGAGCTCCAGCAGGTCCTTCTGACTGCAGAGAGCACTTGAAGTGGTTCATCAGAGAAAATGGTGCTAAGCCACTGTTAATTAGCTTTTTAACTGTAACAACTTGGTGAAAATTGTATTATTATATTATATTATATTATTATCCAAAAGGAATTGCAATCAAACTCATCAGACTCCTAAACAGTTGAGGAGTTTATTACCAGGAAATATGTGATGTACTGTTTACGTTGGGCAGCACGGTGGCACAGTGGTTAGCACCGTTGCCTCACAGCGAGAAGGTTCCAGGTTCGGGCCCCACCCGGGACTTTTGTTAGCCCTGCGATGGATTGGCGACCTGTCCAGGGTGTACCCCGCCTTCACCCGATTGGTTCCGCCCCCCGTGACCCCGCTCAGGGAACAAACGGTAGAAAATGAATGAATGATTTGCACCTATTCTTAACTGAAATTATTTTGAAATACTGGTAGAGAGCTTTTGTACTTGGACTATAAGTCAGGAGTAGACAATTGAATGCTGTTCAGCCACTCTCCAAACTGAAGTAATTTTCTTTGACTTTGTGCAACAGAATAAAAAAAGCTAATCATTCATTAAGAGTAAATGTGTAATATTCTTAATTAAACCATTGTGACATTTAAACACTTTCTGGACTCCAGTAAAGAGCAATTACCGTATCAGCGATAGATTGAATAATCAAGGACTTGTTTCCAAGAAAATGGCATAAAAAAATCATTTCCTCAAAATAAAGCAGAAATAAAAAAATATATTTAATGTGTCTTTATTTAACACCAAATTCACTGTGCAGTTGTATGCTACTGTAGTGCATTTCAGGGTGTCAGGTTAAGCGTGTAGAACTGCTTTTCCTTGTCACAGTTGTACGATTGACTGAATTGGATCCAAATGTACAAACACCAGGTGACAGACAGGCCTGGGACATACAAACACCTTATCAAGCTCAAATGAGTTCAGGATCATGAAGAGAGGCTACAGGATTTCAGCTGCAACAGGTGAAACAAGACCACACCACCGCCTTGACATCTCTCTGCTACCATAAAAGTACATTAACACCCAATTTTCTATATGTACTTTGATGTATTTGCCATTTAAAAGACGGTGCAAAAGACAAGTCTTTGTTCGCTGTACGTTTCTTACATTGTACAATAGTGAGTCCCTTAGAAGCTGAATTTTCCTCAACTAATTGCAGTGCACTCAAGCCAGCCTTTGAGGCTGTCCTGTTCATCAGCATGACACAGGTGCATGTGTAGCACGTGAGCCATTTAGGTGCCTGTTTACACTGAAAAGACTGACATACACAAGAGTAATGAGCAACATGTGCATCACCTGTGAGTTCTGTTTCAGATGCATCATGTGGTGGGTCTTTTTGACTGTCATCCAACATGTTTATTGGGTATGGTCATCAGATGGGCTTTAGCAGTGAGGACATCAAAGCATTATTGTGGTGCTAATAACATATCGCCCAAACAGAGGCAGTGATTGAGCCATTAATGCATTATTCTCTCTCAGTTAAAATATGTAAAACTGTGTCTGGCATCTGTCACTTGATGACAACAGCCTCTCTTCTGGGTTTTATTTAGTTTTATTTTCTTCACAGAACGTCTCTACTTTATATGCAACCTTTCCACATTTCAGCACACCAATTTATACTCCTCAGTCACTACATGAGCCACATTGTTAAATAATTCAAGTACAGTACACTGGTGCCACTTGATACATTTTAATTGACAGCTAAGGTTCAAGATGGCACCACTCAAACTCTGCCTAATGGCTTCTTTTCCAAATTTGAAAACACATAGAAGTCTTAACGATGATGGGATGAAATCTGGAGTGATAGCACTGTGAAGCTGAGGAAGGAGGAAGCAGCAGCAGCTGACTTTTATGGGACCATATTTATTAAAATAGTTGATATCTGTCCATCAGCTGATCTGGAAGAAGAGGGCTGATTGGTTTAGGTGTATGAAACTGGATTTAACGTTTCCTCCTGCTGGCAGATGACCCATAAGGAAGCACCCACCTACACACGTACTGAGAGAGAGGTCTTTTAAAGATTATTTCCCCAGTAGATGTCAGTAGAACATTCCCATCTTCTGTTTATTTTCCATAGCAATCTTGGCTGTGTGGCAGGTGATAAATTAATAAATACTCTCAAATCAGACTACAGTAAGGCTTTAGTACAAAGGCCCGACTTTCAGATGCATTGTGGTAATAAATCAGACCGTAATTACAATTCCACTTTTCTACAAAACTTGGGCAAATCTCAATAATTTCTGGTCATTTATGGCAAAGTTGTGCATTCTGTCTTCAAAAAGAAGAGGGAGAACAGCTCAGGCCATACAATGTGTACAAGGTGACCAACAGGCTGCATGCAGGGATGAAAAAGAACAAGTAGCAACTCTTTGGATCCAAGTTGTTTCCACCTGAAATTAATTTCAAGAAATGTATTGAACTGAGGGCAACTGTCTTGTTCAGAGATATTCAGAAACTTAATTATGTCCCTCCCACTAGCGGATTTTCCGCCTGTTTGACTTGAAATAGGATTTTAAAAATGAATATTAGATTTGCAGACTTTAATTTATTTGCATTGAGCTTTGTCTGACAGGAAAGAATGGTATTACAATGGGAGTATGTATATTCAAAATTCCCCGAGATAGCGGGTATCCAGAGGTGAATTTTGCAAACAGCACCAGTACGTTGTCCTTTTTGCCTTCTCAAATTTGCGCTCTCCTTGGTGCTGAAACTGGAAAGTCTGCGTAACGCTGTGGTAACTTCTTCCCTTTTTTTGAATGGAAACTGGTCTGTCACACACAGTCAGCCGACGAAATAAAACATTTTCTACTAGTAACCTAAATAAAATAAATGAACTCCAATATGAAAACGTGCGAGTGCCACAAACAGGGGCTGATATGCTAAACTGGCTGAGTTCCCATAGGTGTTACATGTCTGATCCACATGAGGTTCAATTGACGAATAGTAACGTTTAATGCTTTGCACGATTTTATATTTTAAAATCGCACGTTGCTACACTTGTGGCAAACGCTCGGGCTGTTCCGTGAATCTAAACGAGGAATAAAGACTGCTCATTATCGTCAAAGAAATGCCAGCCTACTTCTTATAGTCGTCTCTCCCTTTCTCCCTCTCTGTTCCCTTTTCCGTCTCTTTTTCTCACATGCACACACCCCCACCTCCACACCTTCCCTCGTACAGCCGAGACGCTTTTAGTCTCCAAACCCATCTCCAGAAGCATGTCCTCAAACAGGCAGCCATCGTGCGATGAACCGGACCAAAAGGCACCACCAGCATGAAAGCAGGTAAGCCGATACCGGAACAATCATTTCCCCTTATGAACTGTTGGTTCTGCTTTCTCCAAACTAGTCCGTATTTCTGAAGCAGGTTTACCAAAAGCTCGGGACATAGACCACTTGCTCCTACAGTGACTGAGAAAGTGAACAGCAGGTTTCATGAAGCTGTCTGGCTCTAGGACACTCAGACAAGAGGGACTGGTTGTTGCCTCTCAGATACCGGACTGGCTCACTCAATCGTCAGGTTGTTCAGTCAGGTCGACACTTGCAGTCATGATTCTCCAGCGCATAAAAGCCAAAGTATGGCAGCTAGATCTTCACGGTATATTTCTGAAAGGGGTTTCCTCATTGTGTCAGACAGCCGTTTTGTTCAGACAGTGTGAGAAAAGTGTACAACTTTATTTTCAGAAGACCCAGAGAAAACAACCTAATTCCGAGTGACTTCTGTAAAAGATTTGGTAACATTATGAGCTGAAATTACAGCTAGGAAATGGGCCAAACACTACTGGCTAAGCTTTGCATGAGCGTCAAGGACACCGACATCCTTTACGCTTGATCCACTGCTGCCTGTGCCATTTGGCGCAACGAGCAAGGAGCGCAGGACTTTCTGGTGGTTTATTTTACATAGTTTTGGGAGGACACAGCTCACAGCTGAAATTGTCTCAATATCAAATAGTATCGGTAAAACCACTACTAGTTTTAACTTTCAGCTTAAAACAACCAACCTCCGTGCACCTGCAATCGATTGCGCGCACTGTCTCATCAAATTTCCAGTGAAATAAGCACCGTTAACCCCCCTTTCTCGGGATTCTCTCTCAGTCTATTTCCTTTAAGCTTTTTTAATCAACTGTGGTTGAATTATTTCTTAATCAAATGCCAAAACGGTTTACCACCATATGGCGCTTATGATAAAAACGTCCTCCACATCGTCACGTTCTGCTTTGATATTCAGATACTTTAGCCTCTCACGTAGAACCAGACGAATCGCTACAGAATCTAATTGTCCAATTGATATTTAATCTGCGCTGCAAACCCAGTCATATCTTCAATGTACAATAACATTATAGTGCATAGCAGAGATGCAGATCTGTGCTTAGAAGCAGTTTTCTTCTTTTCAATTCCATTTACCAGACTGCACAAAAATACATGCGTTATGCTGCAATATGATTCGTGTTTTGAGTCATCATACAATCAATACAATACAAATTGATGCTGTTAAACTGTATGCATATGCACTGAGATCCAACAACATCGATAAGAATAACAGGTGATTTCGCGATGCAGCCACAACCTACGTGCGTAAAAGCGCAAAGCAAGAAGCAGAACACTGACTTGAGACAGCAGGTTTGTGTCGGATTGTATGCCTGTGAATCTTCTAGCTGATATGGTTTATGCACAGACTGGCACTCCCAAGTCATGCTTTACATTGATGCGCAGTTAGCTGTTGCCCCTAAATCCACGTGAAGACTTGATTTTCAAAAGGTAAATGCGTGTTTGTCAGGCTACTTTATACCCCACAGTTTTAGGCTACACCACGTACCTATGAATGTAAAGGGAGCCAAAAACGCAAATCTTTCCTCGTCCTATCATTCGGTTGAATGAATCACTGGGACGAGGTCTATGGGTGGAGGTGGGATCTAGTTTTGGATCATTTAACTTTACTGTGACATTAATGCCAGAGTGAGCGTCAGCCTAGGGATTTCTGAAAGGTCAAACAAAAAAACTTAAAGCTAATTCTCACTTCATATGAGATAAAGAACATCAGTTACTCGCATAAGTAAGGCTCACACACTGCTTCTAAACATGCGTGGAAAAAAACAAGCGATCCTTATGGTTATTTCTACACTAACAGACTGATTTTGTCTGGTCTACGAGCCTCCTTGCTGTCGTGAATTTGAGGACTTTATGATAAGACCGAGTAAAATTAGTTTGTGACTATCAGTTGTTAGGTTTTATTACGGGTTGTTAAGCAGATATTTACAGCAGGGTCCTAAATAACACTGTAGATACACTTCAGCTGTAGCACCAACATAATGTGCAGAGGCTTATCATCTAACGTTGCGTTGTGTAGCGTATGAATACGTGCTGTGGCTTGACCTTGATTAACTCGCCTGCAGATGACAGGTAAACAGCAGGATAAATTTTGGCTTCAGTATCTGTTAATGTCGCGGCTTGTTCCCGGGGATCGAGGTCGATGCTGGCATTGTTTAAGCATATTAGTACAGCGCTCCATTTAGTAATTTGATTTGGTGTCTTGCCAAAAAGAGCATAATTTTGCTACTGCCTGGAATCCATTAGAAACTTTCCAGGGCTTCAGTCTTGCACCCTTGTTTTTTTTTAGCACTGCAAGGGAACAAGTGAACACTTAGAAGTTCAGGTTTTATGGGAAGAATAGTGTTTATCCATCTGGCGAAACTTTGAATCCAAACTGGGTTCAAAAGGTAACCAGTATTAAAGTGATCACAGTTGGTGTTCTTTAGAATTACTACTTGAGAAAGTGTTCAATTTTTGGTAGTGATGAAGTACATCATGACTGGGTGCCATTTCCGACTACAACAATTCAAGCAAAGCCATCTGTTTACCTGCAGATAAAGAGTTTTGACAGCCTATTATGGTTCCATAGAAAACACAATTTGCAGGGCCACTAAAAAGCTTCAGGTTCCATAAATCACTCCACACAATCACAGAATGTGTTAAACCACAGCAGGAGTGAAGAATGGTTTAAGATATGAATAAATGCTTCAAATAGCCAAGAATAAACCAGTTCACAGTTGTATTTGGCAAACAGAGTAGCCCTGAATAGTCATATCTTCAATGTACAATAACATTATTATCATATACTACAGTAGAAAGTACAACTGGTAAACCAGTCAGTCTTCTTTTACAGTAATGTTGAACAACTGCATCTATTTCACTGCACTACCCTACATCTTCTGTCACATCTTCCTGTTTCATAGTCTCATTATATATGTTTTTTTTAAATTAAAATAGTAATTTATTATGACAAAAAGGACTGTGGCACATGAGAGTACTTCATAACTTTTTACACGTACAGGAACTAATGTAAATATCCTGACTATTAATAGGCTCTTTATAAGATTGTCCCACCTGTTCTTCCACTACACTGAATCACTGCTCTTTTCTCTTTGCAAGTGTTGAGGCTTTTCCGACTTGTTGCTCCTGTTTGACATTCTGATGTTGATGGATAAGGTTTGCAGGCACCGTGACAGTTATGGCATTTGATAGGCTTTTAAATTTTGCCAGTCCACTAGCAGAGGTCAGACATGTGGCTGCCACTCTTTAGCTGATGTTACATTAGATATGCTGAGACTATATATTGTGTATAATTTTCCCCGGAGGTGCCAACATGCTTGACTGTGATAGCAAGTATTGATTTGTATATTGTCCTGGGCCAGCGAGTATGCATTTGCTAGTGACATATTGTTTAACACAGACGACAGTGAAGTGACGTGAGGAGCAGTTCAGTTATTGTTACGAATTATTGTAAAGACGTGAGGAGCAGTTCAGTTATTGTTACTGTAAAAAATATAGAAGAGCCAACCACGGATTTTTGCAGGTGTGTCTAAAAGTGATGCTTCTTGCACCATTTGGCGAAAACAAGCCACGAGCAGGTGTGGTTCTCATGTGTGCACAACACATAAAACCAAATGAATGCTTGTAGTTTGGTCACACTCACAGGAGAAGAGTTTGAAGGAGGACGCTCCTACCTGCCATGAATGCTCACATACTATATTACTAAATCTGTGTTTTTGGCAGCAGTGGAAACAGTGTTAGAGGCAAGGTTGCTTTAGTGCAAAGTTAAAATTAGCCGTGGGGTGCCTCATTCCATGGACATACACTTCTCGGTTGTAGAACGACTGCACAGTGCACATTAGTGAATCTGTGTAGCTGGCACACATAGAAAGGAATGTCTAATTATCACGCTTTCAGCCACAGTAGGCTCCTCTATTTGAACAGAGCTCCCGCTTTAATCACTTTCTTTTGCTATCATTACACACTTATTTATTTTATTCTACGCAATTAAAATGTTATTTTTGCTCTATTTGGATGAGACGGAAGTCCACGCTGTGTCGGCTGGGGGCTGAAGGAAGGTCTAAATGAGCAGAACGGCTCTGCTATGATGTGCACATTTTTAGAAATGATGTAAAAAAGGGGTTTCACAGCCAACATGTTGTGTGCAAATGTTACGTGGGAACGAAGGCTGTGCCAGTAAAAAGACTGTATATACTGTATAAATGAAACATTTAAATATATTTTTAAAGCTTAAATGCCCAAGCACAGTATATACTGTATCCACATTCAGTACATGCATTTTTCACATGCTGATGCTGTGTTTTCAGCCAGACAAATGGCGAAAGCGCCCTGTAGCTGGGCTCCTTCTCAGATGCTGAGTGATTGCAGAGCTTTACAATATGAAGTGCCACTAAACCACTGCACAAAGTGGCATTGATTAGAAAGGATGGGAGGAGGGAGATCCCTCCTTAAGGTCATTATCTAGTAGGAAGAGTTAGACGAAAACAAACTGGCGTAATTGCATTTGTAACAAAGACTCGGAATCAGCGGACTAAGCAGTACTTACAGTATCGTGTCAGCATATTTCATCAACATACAAACGGATTCAATGACCCTGCAGTTGCTCATGAAATCTGTTCTATGAAATCAATATGAATGCATATGACAGCCTGAATACCGATTTCTACAGCATACATTTGACATGTGTAAGTCAGGAAAGAGCTTTGTTTCACTTTTGTTTAAAAGATGCCAGTTGGTTGTACTTTCTACCCAATATGTAAATAAACTGCAACATTTGGACATTACAACTGATAAGATTTAGTCAATACTGCATTTGATATGTAGCTCTACGCTGTATTATCGCCACATTATTGCATTAGTGCAGCACTTTTTCCAACTGACTGGGACCCAGGGGCCACCACTGTGACTAAGAAGCAACCCAAGAACCCCTGCTGTGTGCTGGGTGGACTGGATGG